GCAGGTTGTTGATAGCTGTTGTTATTAGGTGTCATCGAGTTAAATATAATGCAGAGTAACCCTGTCAGCTCCAACTCATAGTGACCCTGTATGCAACAAAACAACAATTAAAAAAAACTCCCCTGTCCCAGCCGCACATTCTTCTCTGTGCTTAAGCCCTTTGCTGCAGTCACTGTGTCAATCCGTCTCATTGAAGGCCTTGCTCCCTTTTAATTATCCTCTACTTTTTGTTGTTGTTAGATCCCATCGAGTTGAGTATGATGCACAGTAACCCTATGAACAACAGACCTGAACTCTCTTATCTTGTGCCATCCTCATCATCTCTGACACACTTGAGCTCGGTCACGTGTGTCAATGTATCTCATTGAGGGTCTTACTCTCTTTCACTGACCCTTTACCTTTCCAGGCAGGATACCCTTCTCCAAGGAATACCCTTTCCTAGCAACAAGCTCAAAGTATGTGAGACAATGCTTCTCCATCCTTGCCTCCAAGGAGCAGTCTGGCTGCACTTTTCCCAAGACGTATCTGTTTGTTCTTTTGGCAGTCCAAAGGATATTCAGTACTCTTCTCTGACAGCACAACTTAAAAGCATTGATTCTTCTGTCATCTTTATTCCTTGTCCAGCTCTCAGATGCATAGCAAGTGATTAAAAGGCAAACTTGCCCAATATAATATGTCTCCTGCTGGTGCCAAGGCTGTTGAATATAGATTCAAGCCAGATGAAACTGTTGATGACGTCACTCTTTCTCTTATCATGATGTTGCTTATTGGGTCCAGTGGTGAGGATTTTGGTCTTCCTGATATTGAGATGCAATCCATATGAAGTCTGTAGTATTTGATGTTCTGTAGCAAGCATTTCAAGTCCTCTTCACTTTCAGTTATCACATGATTTTTAGTATATGATTATTGTGGAACACTTTAGGAGATTACAAAAAAATGAAATAAAAACAGCCTACCAATTCTCCAATCAGAAGGACATTTCCTCTCCCTTCATTGTGTCATGACCCTCCCACTCTCCTCATCATTCCACATACTTCCTTTTTAGTCTTTGTCCTCATGCATTCAGGGCTCTAAGTTAAGATGATCACCTCTGTTCCTTCTCAAGTACTCAAAGGAGAAAGAACTGCCATAGGGTCAGTTCTGAGGTGTTAAATTGTAACAAGAGGAGACTGTTCATATTTCTCCCTCAGAATCTCTCTGGTAGAGCCAAACTGCCCGAGACTGGCAACCTTTGGGTTAGCAATGAACCCCCTACTGACCACACCATCAAAAGTTCAGCTCAAATGCTTCTCCCTGCAAGAAGATCTCCAGGAGTTCTTCCCTCCTGAATTAGCTGTTCTTTTCTCAATGTTCCCTTCACTCTGAGGTGGACTGATTAAATTTATTTTTAAATCTAAAACTATACATTTTTAACTGTGCGGCTTCGGCAGTGCCACGACCGTGTCGCATTACCCCGACTACAGCTGGAGCGCCCAGAAGCGAGCGATGGTGGAAGAAGAGGTGAGGAAATTTGTTGTTGTTGATTGCCATCGAGTTGAGCATGACTCATAACAACCCTATGAACAAAAGGCTTGAAGCTTTTCCATACTTATCATCATTTATCAAAATTCATAAGAGTTTCCAGAGGCATATGGTTTAGGAAGTGGATGCCACTCCTGATTCCAAACCTTTCTTAAACTGGGAGCTGCACCAAACACTGTCCACCATGGGTAAACATTATGGCATTTGACACTCTGATGGTAAAAGGTTCAGCATCACAGCAACCCCAGGTTACCTCAGTACAGCATATTGACAGAACAGTGCTGTACCACTTAGATGAATGTTCCTCCAAAATAGTAACAACTGACTTTTAAATACAAAGGCCCTCTCTGAGGTCTTGTTGATTCTAAACAAGAGGCTTAAATAAATAAAAAAAACCAACACAAAAAACCTAATAATATACTATTTCAAATTGCTGTTGTCAATTTGAGCCTATAAAGGAACATAATACTTCAAGGAAGAGATTCTTTACCAATTCAGCTAAACTACTGTGTGTGAAGAAGTATGAGGATAGCACATGATAGAACAGGGTTCAAGATCTTTTGTTCATAGGGTCACTATGAGTTGTACTCAACTCAATGGCACCTGACAACAACAACAACTATTGTTTCAGAGAAGATTTCAGGGTGTAATATGGCTTGCATATTGAAGTGTAAAGATTATCTCAAGGAAATAGTTTCAGGACTTGTCCAACCTCCAGAAAACCTGGATTCTTTTGAGAATTTGAAAATGTATTGCATATCACTCCCCTTTTGAACAAGTTCCCCTGTAAAATCTTTGATTAATATATTCAGTCATCACAACCTGGGCACCATCCAGTTCTTCTTGTCTCATAACACAGTAGACTTGATGTTTTAAAAACTTTTTATTTTTTAATATTTGTAAATTTCAAAAGAATTGCAAAGCAAGTAGGAAGATTTCTCAAATTCCTCCAGCTTCCCCTCACATGAACATTCTATATTAACTCTAGTGTAATCATCACAACTAAGAACTTATACTTCAAAGCCTTCTTTTTATTTTGTTATGACAAAAAAGATACATTACAAAACATATACAATCTCAACAATTTCTATGTGTGTAATTTAGTAACATTGATCACATTATCTAAACAGTTGGGCAATCATTCCTGTTCTTCTTTTCCAGATCTTTCTACTTTTAACATAAGCTCCATAAGCATAAACACTTGTTGTTGTTATTGTTAAGTCCTGTCACATTGCCTACAACTCATATCAACCCTATGTACAATAGTTCTGAAGCCTGCTCTGTCCTGAGCCGATCTCACTGACTCCGACATACCTACCTACCCCATTGCCCTAGTTATTGTATCAATCCATCTTATCTGGGGTCTTCCTCTCCTGTGCTATCCCTCCACCCTCTGAGCATGATGTCTTTCTCCAAGGGTCTGTCCCTCCTGGCCATGTGCCCAAAGTATGTAAGACGGAGCTTCAAAATCCTAGCCTCCAAGGAGAATCTTGGTTTCACTCTCTCCAAGACAGATCTATTTGTTTTCTTGGCGGTCCATGGTATGTTGAAGACTCTTCTCCAGCACCACAGCTCAAAGGAATCAATTCTTCTGTCATCCTTAGTCATCATCCAGCTTTCTGATGCATAGCAAGTAATTGCAAAGACTATGGCCTGAATAAGGTGTGCCTTAGTCTCTAGACTGACATTGTTGCTTCTCAGTGCTCTGGAAAGGTCCCTGACAGCAGAATTACCAAATGCAATTCCCTTTTTGATTTCCTGACTGCTTTTAACATAACCTCCCTAAGCATAAACTCTTAGACATTTTATTTTTTGTGTATATATGAAAAGGTAACAATATCTACATGTCCAGTTTGGTAACACTGATAACATCCTTCATATTGTATAATCATTCTAACGATCCTTTTTCAAATCATTCTACCACTATTAGCATAAACTCAGCTCTCACTAAAATTCTCATCTAACCTTTCCAGCTGCTGTTCTCAGTTTGTTGCCACAGAGACAGATTTCCCAAAGAGCACAATGCTCAAGATAGACTTGCTTTACTAAATAAACCACACCATTGTTTGTTTGGTTTTAAAGGGCCCATTATTCCAGAAGTCATTGGCCAGTTCTGCTTGTAAAAGTTGGATACTGACTAAAGAAGAACCAAGAAGATTTGATGTCTAAAACAACTGCTGGAAGAATGAACAAATCGATCCTGGAAAAAGTAGAGCCAGAAGGTCCCTGAGAAGAGAGATTAGAGAGGTTTTATCTCACCTACTCTGAGCATGTTATCAGGAAGGATCAGTATCCAGAGAATGACATCATACTAGTAAAGTAGTAGTAGTAGTTGTTGTTGTTTTTGTTATGTACTGACTCAACCAACTCACAGCTGACCTCCAGTGGGTTTTCTGAGACTGTAAATTACACAGAAGGAAGTTGTTGGTCTTTCTCCCCCGTAGTTAAGTAGGGTTGTTGTTGTTGTTATGCGCCGTTGAGTCATTTGCGACTCATAGCAACCCTATGTACAACAGCTCTAAACCCTGCTCTGTCCTGTGCCAATCACACTGTCTCTGACACCCCCACTCTGATTAATTACCCCAGTCACTGACTCAATCCACCTTATAGAGGATCTTCCCCTCCTACAGTAAACCTCCACCTTCCCAAACATTACGTCCATCTCCAAGGACTGGTCCCTCCTTGCAACATGTCCAAAGTATATCAGACAAAGCCTCAGAATCCTTGCCTCCAAGGAGCTGCCTGGTTTAACCCTTTCCAGGATGAACCTGTTTGTTTTCTTAGCAGTCCATGATACATTCAATACTCTTCTCCAGCACCACAGCTCAAAGGCATCAATTCTCCTTCTATCCTCCCTTCTTATTGTCCAACTCTCTGATGTATAACAAGTGATTGCAAAGACCATGGCCTGTATCAGGCGCACCTTAGTCTCCAGAGTGACACCATTGCAAAGATGGAGACCTCGATGAGATGGATTGAGACTGGTTACAACAACAGGCTTACACATAGTCATAATCATGGACATCCTGCAGGTCTGGGCAGGGTTTTATTCTGCACATAGGGTCTTGATGGCTCAGGACTGACTGAGAGCATCTAACATCATAAAACACAACCTTCACCCCAGTAAAGGTTAATGGCAAAGTTCAACAGGGCAGCAAAGAGTAAATGTGGGCAAGGTTGTGGAGAGATTGGAACTCTTATTCACTGCTGGTGGGAGTGTAAAATGGTACAGCCGCTGTGTAAGGTGGTCTGGTGCTTTCTCAAAAAGTTGGAAATAGAAGTACCATTTGATCTAGCAATTCTACTACTGGGAATATACCATAAAGAAACCAGAGCCACAACTCAAATGGATGTATGCACACCCATGTTTATTGCTGCATTATTCACAATAGCAAAGAGATGGAAGCAACCCAAGTGTCCATCAACAGACAAATAGGTAGAAAAACTATGTTCTATTCACACAATGGAATATTACACAGCAGCGAAAAACAATGAACTTGTAAAACACTACACAACATGAGTGACCCCAGAGGGCATTATGCTGAGTGAAATATTTCCGTCACTAAAGGATAAATACTGCATAGCACTGCTGTTACAAATTAGGACAGACATGGGATACTGGGGGGAGAAATGGACTGCGTTTGCGCTCTCCCCTCGGAGAGGGGAAGAGTGGATAGATCATGAACACTGCATTGGAACAGATGAGAGGAAGGACCATATGAAAGGAATATATGATTAAGCATTGTATATGTGACAACACTCTGGAGCAAGAGGTGCATCGCAAAGTAGACTTGGGGAGGGGAAAGGAAGAGAATGAGAACCAACAAATGACTTAAAAAACACCCCTAAACCCCAACAACAACCCAACCTTCAGGGGACACTATCTCTTGAAGCCATCTTTAGGCCAAACAATGCTGCTGTTGTTGGTATTAGCTGCCAGTGAGTTGGCTCTGACTCTAGGAACCCTGTTCATAACAGAAGAAACCCAGTCTCCTTCTGTGCCATCCTCATAATTACTGCCATGCTTCACTTGATACAGGCCATGGTTTTTGCAATCACTTGTTAAGCATCAGAGAGTTGGACAATGACTAGGGAGGATAGAAGGAGAACTGACGCCTTTGAGCTGTGGTGCTAGAGAAGAGTATTGAATGTACCATGGACTGCTAGGAAAACAAACAGATTCATCCTGGAGAGGGTTAAACCAGGCTACTCCTTGGAGGCAAGGATTCTGGGGCTTCATCTGACATACTTTGGACATGTTGTAAAAACAAACAGATTCATCCTGGAGAGGGTTAAACCAGGCTACTCCTTGGAGGCAAGGATTCTGGGGCTTCATCTGACATACTTTGGACATGTTGTAAGGAGAGACAGGTTTTTGGAGAGGGACATCATGCTGGGTAGAGTAGAGGGACAGCGCAGGAGGGGAAGACCCTCTATGAGGTGGATTGATTCAGTGACTGGGGTAATCGGGATGGGTGTGTCAGAAGCAGTGCGATTGGCACAGGACAGAGCAGGGTTTAGGGCTGTTGTACATAGGGTCGCTATGAGTCGCAAATGACTCAACACCACGTAACAACAACAAACAATCACCCCAGTGCTGCAGTCGCTGTGTCAGTCCAGCTCACTGAAGGGCTTCTTCCCTGATCCTCTGCCCGATGTCCTTTAGAGACTAGACCCTCCTGATAACGTGCGTGAGATGCGTAAGACACAGCCTCTCCATCCTTGCTTCTGAGAAACATTCTGGCTCCTCCTTACGGATAGATGTGTTCATTTTGCTGGTGTTTCGTCGGTGATATATTCAGTAATCTTCGCCAATGCAAAGCAACCAAATTGAAAGGCTCCAATGTTTCCTTGATCTTCCTTATTTATTGCTCAGAGTCTGCATCCATAATACGATTTGGGTCAGGCTCACTTTGGTCTTCAAAGGGATGCCTTTGCATTTTAACACTTAAAAGAAATTTACCTAATGCAATGTGTCCTTTGATTTCTTTCTTGATTGCTGCTTCAATAAGCGTTGGTTGTGGAATCAAGTAAATGAAATCCTTGACAGCTTCAGTGTTTTCTCCATTTATGTTGCTAATTGGTCCAGTTGTGAAGAGTTTCTTTTTCAGTATCTTGAGGTGTAATTCGTACTGAGGACTTTTTATCTTTCATCACAAAGTACTTCAAATCCTCTTCATGTTTGGTTTAAGGTTTAAAGATCCCTGGATCTTTTCTTGCAAATGTCTTTGTCTTTGTTTTCCCCACTCGGCTGGGAGGTCCAGGAAGGGCCAGGTCTGATTCTTTCTGGAAGCTTCCTTTCCTCTTGGCTAATAACTCACAAACCACTAGATGTCCCTTCTGTGTGTCCAGAACCCCCTGCACCCTCATCCTCACCCTTTGGGACATTGTCTGGCTCTTTTTCTGATCTCCCAACATCGAACTCTCCCTCGCACTCCAGGCCATGGATCCCCATGGATGCTTCTGACATATAACCTGATCATGCCCCTCCCTCTAACACCTCCCATAGCTCCCCAGTGCCCTTCATATTGAGTTCAGACTTCCCTGCCTGGTTTTCAGTGACTTGTTATCTGCTGCTCACGACCTCCCTAGTCTCCTTCCCCACCGTGACCTCCACTTTACTGTATAATTCAGCCCTCCGAGAATGCGTGTCCTGCTCTCTTGCCTCTCTGAGTCCTGGCTTCTTGTGTTCCTTTCTTCTGGATGGCCACTGTTTTCCAACACTTAACAACATTCATCCCCTGCAGCCCAGGCCCGAGGCCCCTGTTTGAGGAAGCCCTTTTTATCCTCCAGGAAGAGCTGCTCTCACCCTGGCCTGAGCCCCAGACTGACGTTGTGGGTTGGGGGTGTCTGAAATCATGTCTGCCCCATGGTGCCTGGCCTGGCTTGTGTTTTGTGGGTAATTGGAAGAGCAAATATCCTACTCCCTGATGCCCAGCCGCCCTTCTCCTGCCCCCAGGTGGCCCCTCAGCCCCTCTGGTTCTCAGACACGGTCGCCAACCTGCGGAAGCTGAAGGAGCTGCCCTTCCACCTGCTGCACGCGGGACGCATCGAGGAGCTGAAGCAGGAGGTGCTGGGTAAGGCCCCTCTGGACCCCCAGCCTGGCTCTGTCCAAGGAGCCTCAGACAGAAGTTCTCACTGGGACGTCCCTGGTCCGAGTCCTGGGAGACACTTTTGGTTGTCATGACTGAGGAGAAGGCACTCCTGGCATCAAGTAGAACTTAGAGTTGCTACATCATGAGGTGATCGCTACCTCAGACTTTTGACAGTGCTCAGAACCAAATGATAGTGCTGCTGAGATAGAGAAATTCTGCCTTGGCATCAGAGAGTCAGTCTGTCCATCATCCTAGTCTGTTGGTCTCTCCATCTCTCTCTCTCTCATCTATCTATCTATCTATCTATCTATCTATCTATCTATCTATCTATCATCTATCTATCTATCATCTAATCTATTTATCTGTCTATATCAGTCATGTGTCACCACCAACCCATGTATAATTCATCCAACCATCTACTCATTTACCATCTACTCCATCTGTCCCTCTAGCTGTCTTAGATCTATCATCTATCTATAATCCATCCTTTATTCACTATCCACATATCATCTCTCTCCCTGTTATCCTCCATCCATCCTTCCATCCATCCATCTATCCATCCATCATTTATTTATTCCTTTTGTCTGTCATCTTTCAGTCATTTACCATATACCTGTCCATCCGCTATCCATCTATACATCTATCTCAGCCGTTTCAACCACAAATAACGTGCCCCCAGCAGACACTTGGTGATGTCCGGTGACATTCGGTTGTCACACATGGGTGGGAGGATAGCGTGCTTCTGGAGGCTGGGAATGCTGCTTGCTGTTCTCCCCACACTATGCAGGATGACCTCACTCCAGCCCCAAACTGCAGCAGTGTCCAGGCTGAGAGCCTGGGGATAACTGGGAGGTGACCCCGGGCTGTAAGGAGTGGAAAGCCTGAGTGACCAGGGGACAGGTGCGTTCTCCCCTCCCCACAGGCAGCATGAGCTGGATCGCCTGTCGGGCCCTGTCCGGGGGCCTCGAAGCCATCCTGGATGACTTTGACTTGTGTGCCCCACATGTGGACTCCCCCGAGGTTGGCCTGGTGCGTGAGGCCCTGCAGCTGGCCCGGCCCGCTCTGGAGCTCCGCGGCCTGGGTGAGTGTTCTTGCCTTGGGCGGTCCAGCTGAGTGGGTGACTCTGAAGTCCTGGGAAGCCAGCTCTGCGTGCTGACCGGTGGGGTTCCAGCTAGCCCACCCCTCTTCCTGTCTAAATCCGTGGGTTTTCTTCCTGTCTTCAAGGGTTCCCACCTTAGAGCAGCCCTTTCTTTTTTTTTCTGTAAAACAGCAGGCAGGAAATGTCTTAGGCAAAAAATCACCATTGTGCATAGTCTGTGTCGAGGTTCTCTGCTAGCCCGCTGGCCTCGCATCTGTGGTGTTTTGAGCCCATTAGCTGCTCTGTGCTCTGGTGGTTGCAGTCTGATGGCACAGGCTTTAGGGAGTTGCACAGCTGACCCAAAGGTGGCTTCTAAGGCTGACTGCAAAGGGACTTTGAACTCATTCGCATTTCTCCATTCCTGTGACTACCAACCTGAGGTTCCTATGTCTCTTCTCCATTGCAGGAGCCACCTCTGAGACTGGCCACCTTCTTCTCACCCACTAGGCCACCTTCCCACTCAGCACCAGAAGAGTCTTTCCAAAGCCCACTTCCCCTGAGTACTAGAAGCTCAGTCTTCTAGTTCGTCTCTCATTCTCTTTCAGTAAAGACCTCAGAGGACGCTAGTTGACCTTCAGAAATGCCTTCAGAGAAATGCCTTTTGCTCCCCGCTATCCCAGACTTTTGGAGAGAGAGATTCGGGCCCACATACCAGGCCTGCATGTGGCATTCACTGTCCCTGGGCACTGGAGCCAGATCCTGCCTCCCCAGACCTTCTGTGGCCCATTCTGTTCTCAGTCACATACTTCTTGGGAGAAGGCTTGCTCAGCCTCCCCGGCACCAGGCCCCCACCACTCCCATCTCTGCATCCTCATTGCCTTGTGCTGTGGTTCACCTTAGTTCTTTATTGCTGTTTCTTTTGGTTTCCTTTTTTTTAAA